TCAGCAAAACAGTTCTTCAGAAAACAGATGTCTGTTTACTATCGCTAGAAATCATTGTAAAAAGATTTTGTCTAACGCCAAAGCACGCTATTATCAGGTCATGAAGTCTCATATTTCATCTCAAAAATATGGCTCTCGTGACATCTGGAGAATTTTTAGCAGTATCAATAATATAGGCAAATCTGTCATTCCACCTCTCTTGTACAGTTCAGACTTTGTCACCTCGCCTAAAGACAAAACTGATAATTTGCTAAAAACTTTTCATCATTATCATCTAGAGATTCCATGGAAAGCGGCATCTTTTATCCTTTTTTTCTAAAATTTTTGGAGAATGATCTGACTGGTGTAATTACTGTCCCATTAATCTTTTTCCGATCATAAGCAAGGTTTTTGAATCTTTAATTAGCAAACACTTAATCTCTTATCTTGAATCTAATACTTACTTTCTGATCATCAATATGGATTTCAATCTTCTCATTCTACAACTGATTTGCTAACAGTAATAACCAACAGATTTTATCAAGCATTAGATAGAGGTGGAGAGGTTAAGGCTATCACTATTGACATTTCTAAAGGTAAAGGGATAAGGTTTGGCATGGTGGTCTTCTCCATATACTTTATTTATATGGTGTAATAGGTAATATCTTTAAGATTTTTAAATCCTTCTTTTTCAATCGTTGTATAAAAGTTGTCCTAAATGGATAGCACTTTTTTTCATATCCAGTAACTTCAGAGGTTCCTCAAGGTTCTATCCTTGGCCCTATATACTTTTTAATTTATATTAACAATCTTCTAGATATTTTCACATCTATAGTGACATTGTTTGCTGATACAATTTATTCTTGTCTTGATAAGAAGCCAACACTCTCTGATCTCTGTGGCATTTGAGCTTGAAAAGAATCTTACTTCTGCTACAGTTTGGGGCTCACAGTGGCTGGTGAACTTTAATTCAGATAAAACCCAATTTTTTCCCAGCAATTTTTACCACAATAATTTAGACCTTCTTATATTTATGAACGGTGATGTACTCGACTTGTAGTCTACCCTTCCTCTTCTAGGATTGACCCTATACTTGACTAGGATACTTCTGATTTTTCTTGAAAACCATATATCAAATCCAATGCAAAATTAGTATCTGCTAAGGTTGCATCTCTTTATTGTGCTTGAAACTTTCTTACTCCGGATTCTATTCTTCATCTCTTTAAATCTCACTGCTCGAAAGAGCTAGCATCTCTTGTGTCATCTACTAAAATTCATCTTTGTGTTACTTGTCATTCAATTAAATCTCATCCTTTTTCTGTTACTATTCCTAAGTGCTTCAAAAACTCTTATTTGTCTAGTTATTTTCCTAGAACATCAGTTCTTTGGAATTCGCTTTCATCATCTTGCTTTCTTGATTCATATGATATGCAATCTTTTAAGTCGTATGTCAATCGTTATCTTGCTCTATAAACTTCATCTTTTCTCTACCAGTAACTTCCAACTATAATAGTAGTTGCTTGCAGCCTTGTTTTGTTGAAAAAAAAAAAAAAAATTATTTTTTATTTATTGCACACTAAGAGTGCAACCTTACCAAACCAAAATTAACTAAAGTGTTAAACTTACCAAACCATTATTATCTAAAATAAACATTTTAGGAACCACCTGAAACCTGTATAGGTCTAAATTTTTTTAACAAAAAATAGGTGAAAACTTTACTAAAGTGATGATTATAAGTTTTATTTAAAAGATCCCCAAGTGTCGAGACAAGTTGTGTTTATATCAAAGATAAACATTAGAAAATAAGTTAAATGTTAATTAAACCTTCCAAAACAAATTATTGAATGAGATATTAACAAAAAACTTTTCAACACCATTTTGTTTCTCGCGAGGGAAAGATCCGGCTCTTTGACTATTTAATATTTTTTTAACCCGGTCTGATAAATGTGTTTTTGTATTTAATATTTGATGTCAATAAAAAAAGTTTCTTTTAAAAAACCTAAATCGAGTTAAACATGTAGAGTATGTTTGGGGTTTCGTTTTGCAGTTAAACGAAAATATAAGATTCAAATTTTTAATATCAATATAATAAATATATATTAGATCATTTTAAAAACGGTATTTTGAATTATAAGTATAAATTAATTTTAATAAACTATAAATAATAAATTAATAAGTATAAATTAATATAATATAATATAATATAAATTCAATCGCAAAAATACTATTTTATTTTGATGATATAGTGATATATAGTTTAAAAGAAAACAAATACTTTGCTGTATTTTTTAATAAAAGTAAAAAGTTTGCTTCGATTAATTACTATTTTTATTATGCCAGTTTATTCTAACTTAAAAACTTCACAAAATGTTGAACAAAAAACAAAAACATGCTACAGTGAATGTTTTTACAACCACTATTTTTAAAAAGGATAACCCAATCTGATTATGTAAAACTGAACTGTTTAAATAACTCTGCGGTGAGAGAAATTATCTTATATTGAAACCAGATGTTTTTTTAACGGAAAAAACTTGCAGATTTGAGAGCCAAATTTTAGGCTCTCAACTGGAAGTATAATGGCAAAACAGAAAATGTTTTTGCAGGAATGGGAACTTTTATTCCTTCTTGTCAGTTCACCAAATCTCATATCTTATCTTAGAGGTTAAGCTCAAGAGACTTTAGGAAAAAGTTCAACAGCATCATTAATCATATATATATATATATATATATATATATATATATATATATATATATATATATATATATATATATATATATATATATATATATATATATATATATATATATATATATATATATATATATATATATATATATATATTAGGGTGCTCCAAATTTTACACATTATTTAAAATGCAGACTCCACAACCCTAAATGTGTTTTATATAATAACATTAATAGGGCCACTAATATTATCAAGAAAAAAAGTTCCTTAAAATTATATTAAGTTGGGTTTCAAAAGAAGCAAAATTTTGTAAAAATTTCAAAAATAATAATCATTTTATATAAAGATTACTAGTTTAAATTTTATGATTTAAAAACTATAATTTTTTAACAAAAAATTTAAAAGTACATATTTTCAAAGGTTTTTTTGTAATAAACTTTTTTAATTTGTGTTTTTATAAATTGTTTTTATTATTTTTGAAATTTTTATAAAATTTCACTTCTTTTGAGACCAACATGATATACTTTTAAAAAAGGTTTTTTTTGTTGACAACTTGACCACTACTGCTTAGATGTTTTGTTGATTTAAACATTTAAGAAATGCACTGAAAAATGAAACGCTTAGCTAAACCTAAACTATTAAACAAATTAAGAAAAAGAACTAATAAAAAAAAATAAAAACAAACAATTTCTTACAAAAAAGAAAACATATAAGCCTCAAAATTAAACTTTAAAAAAAATGAAACCCGAAAAATACTTTTTGCTACATTTTTAATTGCATTGGAATAAAGTTACTTTAAATCTTTTGAAACATTTTATTAAAGTTATCCAAATCATTTCTAGTGTTTATTTAGCAAATGAAAAAAAATTATGTAAATTATTGAAAAAAAAAATATATATAATATTTTTAAATAGTATAAATATCTTTTCCAAAAAGTTAAAAAAATTTTTTTTTTTAAATAACGAGGTTTTTTTAAAATAGCGTTTTTTAATAATTTCATGCTCTGTTTACAAAGTCAAATGTAAAGAAAAACTTTTAAACAATTTTTTTTTTCAATAGAAACAAAAAAAAAATTAAAAAAATAAAGCAATTAAATTATTTCAATGCAATTTGAAAATTTAACTCTTTTTTTTCAATGTTACTTCACCTCCCCAAGGCTGAGAAGGCCACTATAGATGAGGAGGCTACTTAATTGTGGTTATAACCCACTATTAACTCTATAACTCCAAAACGTGAACCTTGATAAACAAGGCCCTGTGCAGAGAAACAAGTTGAGCAAATTATTACCAGGGAAGTGGTAGGAATCAAACTCAGAACCTCTTGTTTATGAAACACTATACCACTACACCACTACCACATAACTAACTTATTTATAAATTAAAGTAATTTCAAAAAATTATCTTTTAAAATGAAAAATTTATAAAAGATCAATGATTAAACGCTATTCAAAATGTAATGCTTTTTTTTATTGCATTTAAATTATTAAACATCAAAACAGTTGTAGTCAAATTGTAAAGAAAAAAGTTATAAGCATAGTTAGATACAGCCTGCGATTGCATGTTATTTTTGTCCAAGCCTTTCTTATTCATCACTGTATAGAATAATGTTGTCATATTTGAGCTGGTTCTTCTAATGAGGCTTCTTCTCTTCTAAACAAGGTCCAAAAACGCACTCTGAACCTAAATGGACCAGCTCTATCTACTAAACCACTTTCCTATTGACATAAAGTTACATCTCATTCTCTTTTCTACAAATACTATCATGTTCGCTCCTCAAAGGAGAATTATTTCTAGTTAATTCAACTAAAACTCATTCTCATTTGATTAAACTCATAACTAAAAAGGATTCTCCTTTGAGCAGCCATAATAGTATTTGTAGAAAATAGAATGAGATATAACTTTATGTCAATAGCAAAGTCTCATTTGCTTACTATATCGGTCCCTATATGCTCTAAAAACTTTTATCTAGTAATTTTCCCCACACTTCAACCCTTTGGAACTCTCTCCTATCCTGATCGATACAACCTACATCTTTTCAAGTCTTGTTTTAACTTTTTCCTTCCTCTATAACTCTATTCTTTTTTCTAGTAACTCCCAAATTAGTAGTGGTTGCTAGTCTTGTTGTCTTGTTGGGAATGAATCAGAATGGAAAAAAAAAAGTAGAAAAATTTGGAAACTTCACTGGAAATTTTGCTTTTAAAAGAAATATTTACAAATATTTAAAACCAGGTAATGTTTAATTTAATACCAAAATTTGATATTTAAAATTTACAAAACCTTGATTGAAGCCAATTTTAAAATATATAACACTTTCTTTATAATAAGAATCAACCTACCACATCAAATGGATGAAAGTGAGCTATCTCTTTTCCACACATCTTTATTAAAACAAAATTACCACACTTTATTATATTCAAATTCAGTGTAAACCAGTATTTTAAGGTCTAAATTATAAAAATATAAAAGTAAAAATATTATATGCTACAAAAACTGCATGTTATGTAAGCATATTTTCTAAATGTTTTAAAAAATATGCATACAAGACATATATTTTTAAAATATTTTTAAAAATAAAAATTAAATATATATCTATTTGCATAATAAGAGAATTGGTATAATTAAATTTTATATAAAATTTAATTATACCAATTCTACAATTATGCAAATAGATATATTTAATTTGTAAAATACTAAGCACAAGTAAAATATAAGTGACTGCAAGCACTAACTTTTTTTATTACTTGTCATGATTTCAATTAGGATTAATTTAATAAACTAATTACAATTATTATTATTATTATTATTATTATTATTATTATTATTATTATTATTATTATTATTATTATTATTATTATTATTATTATTATTATTTAACTTATTAATTACAATTACCTTAAAAACTTATTTTGCTCTGAATTTCAATAAAAATATTTTAAAAAGAGTTTTGTTTGAAATTTATTAACGTAACACTTTACAAAGTGACAAGGTTACTTTTTCTGACACAAATAGTAGCTTTAAAGTTTGTAAATAATTGTAAATCAATTTTTAAAACATTTAAAATACAAAGCAAAATAAATAAGTTTATTTACCTAATAATGGTAAGTTTGACTGAAACTGAGTATTTTAAAAAATCTGTTGTGAGTTACACAAAAAAATAATTTAATTGCTTTAACTATAAAATTCGATAAAAAAATAATAATAATACTGCAGTGATAAAGACTATATTCAAAATACCTGGCTCTGTTGAAAACATTGCTTAACACTATGTATATATAAACGTTTATCATGTGATTTGTAAATGAATCGAATTAGTTATCGCTGACTTACTCAAACAAAAACAAAAGGATGTTATTTATCGACAAGAGTAAACGCATCGAGACAACATTTATTGTGTAATGTTGTTGTTTTGTTTTAGCACAAATAAAACGGAATATAATAAGATCCGAATCTCTCAAGAGATGCTAACTTATCTAAATAGAATAGAGAAGTTCAGTAACGCTTTTTTTTTTTAAAGAAAATAAATTTACGATAATTAAAGTAGAAAGCTTTGAAAATACTAGTTAAAAAAATTAACAACACACTTGTCACAAAAAAATAATCTTTCTGTACAATATTTATATTCAACAAATAGTTGGTTTTTTCCAATGTCTGGGGGGTAAAAGTTGCCAAAAAACCGTTATGGAAAGAAACAACTTAAATATTTAAAATTTAAAATTTTCAGTAAAGTAAAACAAATTTTCAATGCAATGTGTTCTTTTATCTCGGAAAAAAGAAAAAAAAGGTTTTCAGAATGATGCAACATAATATTCCGTCATTTTTGTTCAAACCATGGTTTGAATGTTTATTCAAACCATGGTTTGATGGTATCATCGTCCTTAGAAGAACACCGCTCATATTAAATATCTAAAGATTCTTTTATTTTTTTTTAATTACTCATAGTCTTATTGGTTTTGCTTTGACCACACTAAAATGCATGATGGGAGTTTTGTAACCATTTTTTTTTTCAAAAAATTCACAATATAAATACCCATCTATATCCGGATCGTCCATAAAGTACGAATGCTCATAGGGGAAGAGGGGGTCTGCAAATGGCGTATATGAGATGGGAGAGCAGTGGTTCAATTGTAAAATAAAAGGAGATACTAAATTTAAAAAATTATCATAAAATGTTAGATAAATAGATTAAAAGGGTAGGTACTTTTAGGGAAGTAGAGGGTACTCAAAAAAGCGTTTGCAAAAAAATGCGGGATGGGGGGGGCGGTGACCAAATAAAGTGTCCAAAACTTTTGGCGTGAACAAAAGTGCTTTTGTAAAAAATCTCTAAATTTATCGTTTGTAAAATTAAAGACCTATTAGATATTCATAAAAATACACTTTTGAAAATATTTAACGAGAAGAATTTTGATAAAATAATAATTAAGTTATTAAATTTTCTACAAAAAAATATAAAATTAAAAAAAAAAAGGTAAGCTAAAGAAATCAGTGGAGTATGTTAGCTAGAAATATGATTAATGATAATTAAAGAAAAAAATTCAATTAAAAAAATATGATCAATTGTTGTAAAACTATCTGAAATGATAAAAAAGCTAAACTCAACATCAAACCAGAATGACATATCAAACGCTGCTGTCAAAGACAAAATAGCTGAGTTAGTAGACTTGAGCAGAAGACATAATCTTAGGTTTAAGAGAGTCGAAGAAGACAAAAATGAAACATAGAAGTTAAGCAAGGTAAAGATTGTTTTAAAGTCTCAACTTGGTTTTAAAAGTAATTTACAAACTGAACAAAGACGACAGCGAAAAAACTTTAAAATTCTGAAAATAATTACTTAAAAAGCAAAAGATTATATAAATATTAAGTATATATAAATTTGTAAAGTGTAACCTTTTACTTTTGAAAAAAACGGTGACTTTAAAAAGTATATATAAACTTAAAACGCACAACCTTTTGGAAATTTATTTATGTTAAAGTTATTCTTTTATCTTATACATTTATTTTATCATAATTATTTTTAATTTAGTTTATAAATACTAAGATAAATTTAAACCACACTATGGAAGTATAAAACAGATGGAGGTTTATTGAGCCACCAACACTAAAGCAATTTCAAGTCGTCTCGGGCTTGTAACCGACAATAAAAAAAACAAATTTCACTGGACAAAAACCAACAAAAATTCTCTGAAATGGTTTTCATAAAAAAATTTTAAAAAATAATTATTCTAAGGATACGCTACATAGCTTTAACCATTATTAATTGTAATTTTTCAACAAAATGTTTACTAAAACTCGGAAATTAAATAGAATCACTATATTTTAAAAGAATATGTTTTTTTCTTTTGATTCGAATCGTAACACAACATTTGATTAAAAAGATAACTAAAACAATTTTTGAAAAATAAAAAAAAAATAATTTCAAAGTTAATAGCTTATAGTTTCATTAGTTGTATATCATAATTCTATTCTTGTTTGTAATACTCCATTTGTTTAATATGAAGTTTAAGAAAAATTACAATTCAAAAATTTCAAAGAGTTTGTGTCTACTTAACACTTCCCGACGGGCATTTGTTTTTAAAAGTTACGTTCTAAATGTATTTTAAATGTCTTTTAAACGTTTTTTGCGTAAGAATGTTTAGAAGACGTTTAAAAGACATTTAAAATACATTTAGAACGTAACTTTTAAAAACAAATGCCCGTCGGGTTAGATTCATCTTTTTTTTAATTTTACGTGTATGTCTCCACACTTTTATGGATTATTCATTTTCTCATAAGTCTATTTTTTTCGATTATTGCAAACGGATCAAAATATTAAAACTGAGTAATTTATTTTAATACATATAAAAAAAAAAAAGCTCTTTTTTATCTCCCAGTGTCTAAACTATATATTAAATCCAAACTGTGTACCTTTTACTGTTTCCTTTCTGTTTAAAAAAATTGAAAACTAATTAGGGTCGTTTCCACACCTACCGTGAGTTTAACAAAAGTTATTATAATATGTTAGATTACCCAAAAAAAAGAAATGCATCGGAATTGAATTTTTGCAGCCGTCAATGCTATAAGGGTTAGTTAAAAATTATTTTCACTCTGAAATTCAAATCAATGACGTACTTATTTCGATCAAAGTTTTAAAGCGCAGTTTTCCATACTTATCGTAAAGGTTTCACACTTATCGTGTATATTGCGGACACTTATCGTATATCTTAATATCTGCATAAGTGTCTGGTTTATAATGCACTCGCGGTTTCAAATGAAAATTTAATGCATTAGCAACATTTTATTAAACGCTTTTAGGTATAAAAAATTAAAAAAAGACTTAAATAAACATTAATTATATAGTAATGAAAGTATTATTATGAATTAAAACTAAAAATTTTAAAGCATTTTCATTACTTTAGTACATATCCTTTTAGTTCTTATACTGAAAATTTATGATTTCTGCTGCTATTGTTAAACTGAAACAAGCTGGTTTTGGTTCTATTACCGCTGCATTATTGCAATAAGACATCTCCTCATCGAATATAACTTGCGCGTTTTCTAAATTACAAGCTGTTGATAGATTTTTATTATACTGTTGTATTTCATCAGGTAAAATTATGGTCTTATATGATTTATATAAGGCTCTTTTTCAAAAATAATACGACTGGTGGTATTCAAGATTTTCTTTCCAACCTAAATATTCGTCAGCCATTTTAAACTGTTCTAAAATACTTGAATCAATTCATTTGTTAATAAAGCTTATGGAAAAGGAAGCTGATAAAGTCACACTTGAATGATTCTCTTCTAAATAAGGAGCCGGAGCAACAGTTGACTCAGATAACTTTTTCACAATTTTTTTGTAGTCAACACTATTGGTATCAAATGGAAAAATTTCGGCATTTTTAAAACCACTTTAAATATTATTTGCCATAGAAGTTTCGATTATAAATAGATTAACTGTTTCTGGGACATTTTCATTGTTTATTTATTGTCCATCATGGTTAATGCGCCATTGTCGGCAAAGAAGATTTCCACATTGTTTTCAGTGGCCCAAAAACTGACACATTAAGGGGCTGCAAAATATATGTTGCATTTGAGAACAAAGCAACAAAACTTATTCTATTTTTAGAGCAAAACTCATTAAGTTTGACATAGAAATGTGACGCATGACTATCAAAAAAAATAATAACTTGTAAAGGAATTTCTTTTTTATCAAGAATGGTTGAAAAACCTTTGTAATATACTCAAAAAAATATTCTGCGGTCATGCAACCATTTTAAATTTTTCCAAGACCCTATCCTGATGGAGCAGTATTTATAATTCTATTTGGAAGACGAACATATTTAAAAATTGTTAATAATGGAGTAAAAAACTCCGCTGGCATTTACTGCAAATAAAGTGGTGATGCTTTTTTTTATTACTTCGAGCACTTTCTTCGTATGTATTTTTTCCTCGATCACAAATTAATAAATTAGTTTTGGCGACAACTGAAAACCACTCTCATCCATGTTGAAAACGCGCATCAAATCATTTAAATATTGAGCATTTTCTCCTAAAAGCTTCGGAATTTCAGCAAACCAATTTCTTATGGCTTTTTCAGTGACTTCTCCGCTAGCACGGTTTAAGAACCACCTCATTTTTTAGATAGCTATTTGTGACGGCGAAGAAATACATAAAACCAACCTTTTGGAGGACGTTTATTAGTAAATTGTATTTTTTTATAATTTCGGAATTTAAATATTTTTGCACATTATCTAATAACTGTACAACAGAAATGACAAATCCCAATCTGGTGCATATTAGTAACCACTCGACTAACTTGTTTTTAATGTGTTCAACTAGTACCAATTCATACCCACAGTGTTTTATCTTCAAAGAGGTTCTTCCTAATATTTTATCACCAAGCATCTGATAAAGAACTCCAAATGCCTTGCTGGCTTTGTACACAGTCATAGCATTCTTAACAGCATTTATACGATCACGTAATTGACTATCTGTATATTGAAGTCTTCGTTTTGAGCTACAAACTTTTGTTTTATATTTTTGTCTTGCCAAAGTAAAAGAAACTAAGTAATATAATTTTTATGTTTATAGTAAAAAAAGAAACAAATTGATTATTCATTGAACATACGATATGTAGGGGAAAGTCGGGTAGCCCCGGACGACGGGTAACTCCGGACACTTGATGTACAGCTTAAACTAAAGAAGCTATGTGACTTTTAATACTAGAATAACATTATTTGAGTGAAAAGATGGTGTATGCAAATTATCTATCATAAAATGCCGAAGTGAATGACTGGGAGGGCAAGGTTTTGTTATCCACTACCAGAAGAGCGACGTATCGTCATATTTGATTCACACATTAATATACTTAATTTTTATGTATATTAATAACTATCTAATAATTAAAGA